TACTCTACGAGCGAGCTGTTAGGAGCTATGTTAGATCAACGTAGACTCAAACTACAAAACAGACAAAGAAACTGCATTATGATTTGTTTTAATTCACAATAAATGCAATCTTTGCAAATAGTCAATCAATTAATTCTGTAGCTAGGCTAGGAGTAGGAGCATGTCTATGGGGTATATTATTTATCTCTTCAATTTCCAGAGAGGGTTATGATGTACTAAACATAGGATTCTCCATCAAGGGCTGTCACCCATTATATATATATATATATATATATATATTACTGCTCTGTACATTTATAAGAATCTTATCTTTAATGTGACTCAAGATGAAATTAGCAAACTGACCTGTCAAGATGAGAGCATGGCATCTCAATGCAAAAGCAAGTTATGAAAGTTCAAAAGACCAAACACGGAAACATTTCCTTTCAAAGCCCTCTGCCCATTGTGAGAGGGTTGATAAAATATATAATCACGAGAAAAGCAAAGTTCCCTAAGAAACACAAACCATCTGATCATAATGTACTACAACCTTTTGTATAAATGTTGATTGACATTAGAAACAGAAAAGCTCAGCTGACACTGTGGAATACTTGGATGCACCCGAGCCTTTTATCAGCCAGGCTAACAATCTCACTCACTGGGAACATTACTACACTGCCACACAGTAAACTCTACCAAGCTGTCAAATCTTAGTACAATTTGGAAGATCCACAAGATAGCTTGCAAGTTAAACAGGTACCATTTGCATAAATGCTAACAGTCATAGAATTTAACAAGGACTACCTTATGTTCAAATAACTGAAAAGAATGACATATCTTATGCTGAGATGTGGTCAATTAAGAGTCTTTCTAGCCATAATCTCTTTTGAGAAGTATTATAAATTCTAGTCTCTGTGCCTGTGATTATTATAATGCCCTTTTGGAGGGAGTTCTCTGCTGTGCCAGCCAGGAGCTCTGGTGGTGGAGTGGTTACATGTTTGACTGCAATCTGCAAGGTCGGCAGTTCAAAGCCACCAACCACTCTGCAGGAGAAAGATGGGGCTTTCTTCTCGCAGAAAGAAAGTCTCAGAAACTCGCAGGGGCAGTCCTACCGCACTCTGAGTTGGCATCAACTTAGTGGCAGTGGGTTGGGTTTGGTTTACTTTGCTATGCTAACAGACAGGATTAAGGTGGGATGCACTCTGGGTCTCCACCTTACTAGAGGGTGTGAACCACGTCACCACCCTGTTTCCTTGGGGGTCTAGTGTGCTGACAGACCAAAAACCATGCTGCCATATAAGAGCACCATCTCAGAAAGAGGGAAATAGAGCCATCAAAGAAGAAGGGTCACAGGTAGAGCAGTCACAATCCCTTCCAGCTTGAAGTGGCAGAGGCAGTGGAGGCCACTTCACACCAAGAGCTGAGGCTGAGGCAAGGAGACAGAGCAGAGGGGGCTGTGCAGGGACTAAGAGACAGACAAAGAAGCAAAGCAGTGAGAGGGCCTCCGGGCCCATGGAGGCAGAGGCGAAGGGATCAGGAGGCTGAGGGCAGAGAAAGAGCTTTGACTGCTGGCTGAAGAGAGGTGTTGCTGTGACTAATGATAATAGCATCCTTCATTTCTTTCGGATGCTGGCTGATGGTAACCTGGTAACTTCCTTAACAAAGCTCCTCAATCAAAGAACGGTTGCAGGAGATGAGTGCCACCCGTGGAACAGTTGGTGCCGGAGTGGGGTAATCAAAGATGGTTGGTCTGACCTCTACCTTGCGGCAGTTGGCCTTGGGTTTGTGTGGAGATGGATTCTCCTTCCTCATACAGTCAAAGGAGGTCAGATATGACCTGCCCTCTCACCCGTACTTTCGCTTATGTGTTCTTGATTGCCTCAGTGTTTAAGCCTATTATGCTACCAAAGTACTAAAATAATCAAGTGTCATGACTAAACATATATTTAATACAGTCCCCTATATTCTATCTGATTTAGACATCGACATGAAAGCAAGGATAACGGAGCTAACCGTATAGGCACTAACCCAGAAAATGACACACTCAAACTTGTTTAAGCATTCCCTTCACATGCGTATAGCACAGCTGGCTACACTCCTGGCAAGAGATTATAAAACAGGACAGGGCCCATAAAGGGGCAGTTGAGAGATAGATGCCTGTTGGCAGAGGAGAACAAAATACACCACCAATGTACGCACTGGCTAAAGAGCATACCTAAGATAACAAAAGCACACAGTATAAGAGAAAAGCTGATGAGCTACGTGCACACTTACACTTGCAGTTGTTGACAGGCAAGGATGGTCACCACTCAAAGAAAGCAGTGGTGTGGTAGTTACCTAATCTCTTATCAATTTGAGACTTACAAGTGAAGGGGTGGACTTTAGCCTGTCAATCAGGTTGCAGCATGATGACCTCATTTGGAGGCACTGAGGAGAGAGCTCACTGGAGCGGGACACAGGCAGACTGCCTGGGAGACAGTCCAGCTGAGAAGAAACATGGAGCTAGGCTGGCACCCAGCTAATGCCCTTAGCCGGAGGAGCCACAGAGACCCCTGCCAGCGCTGAGATGCTTATAACACCACTGGATGCACATGACTTCCCACCCACTGGCCTGTGATCTTCCTGCATTTGGTATCATTGCACCTGTTTTGTGAGTCTGAAGAGGGCTTTATAAATTGGTATTGGACATATGGGCTAATATAACACTTATGGACTTGATCTGGACTAGGCTGGAATGTTTTCTCAATATTCAACTGCTCTTGTATATATATAAAGCTCATTTTTATACACATGAGTGTCTATAAATTTTGTTTCTCTAGTCTACCCAGACTAACACAGGTGGGAACTATAAATCCCACAAACCTAGGTTCTACTTATTCACATTGGTTTTATGTGATCACTTCTCAAAAATAGAGTATGGCAGAAGCTATATTAATAAAATTATCTGCGGCATTTTTGGAATCTTCGGAAGCAGGGCTTAATATAAGAAAATCCTCTGCCTTTAAAATACATCTAAGGTGCTCACCTTCCCGACACAAACGCTGAAGACAAAGCGGGTGAATAAGCAAATGTGGTGAAGAAAGCTGATGGTGCCCGGCTATCAAAAAGTATAGCGTCTGGGGTCTTAAAG